ATACCGTGACCTATCGTTTCATTTCCTGCTCCAACGCTTCACTTCCCCCACAGATATTACCACGTGTATGGCCACGATGCACTGTCCCCATTCCCCTGTCTTTCCATTTCAAATCATCACATGGCCCCACCCTACCCCCCTCTCTTTTCGAGCCCTGCGCCGTCCTGGTCGGCAAGCCCCACGGCCGACCCCTCTCCTCGGCCACCCTTGCGTCGGCACGCCTCTCGGTCGACCCCTCTCACTCGGCCACCCTCGCGGTCGGCACGCCTTTCCGGTCGACCACCCTCGCGGTCGGCACGCCTCTCGGTCGACCCCTCATCATCGGCCACCCTCGCGGTCGCACGCCTCTCGGTCGACCCCCCCTACTCGCCACCCTCGCGGTCGGCACGCCTCTCGGCCGACGCCTCCTGCTCGCGCTACCCTCACGGTCAGCTTCTCCCGATTCAATTACCCTGGCGATCGGCAACGGCTTCCCGTAGACCCTCTCCACTCGGTTCGAATTTCTCTTCCTTATTACTTTTCCTTCGTTGGACTAAAGCTGCACTCGGAAATGGGGGACTACTGACATGGACAGGCCCACGAGGCATACAGCCCACGGCAAACCGCCCCGAACCCATCGCCTCGGACCCATAGCATAACTTGATTGGCAAAGCCCAGGACAGCTGGAGTCTACATGGACGTGCCGACCGCGAGGGTGGTCGAGTGAGAAGGGTCGACCGAGAGGCGTGCCGACCGCGAGGGTGGTCGAGTGAGAAGGGTCGACCGAGAGGCGTGCCGACCGCGAGGGTGGTCGAGTGAGAAGGGTCGACCGAGAGGCGTGCCGACCGCGAGGGTGGTCGAGTGAGAAGGGTCGACCGAGAGGCGTGCCGACCGCGAGGGTGGTCGAGTGAGAAGGGTCGACCGAGAGGCGTGCCGACCGCGAGGGTGGTCGAGTGAGAAGGGTCGACCGAGAGGCGTGCCGACCGCGAGGGTGGTCGAGTGAGAAGGGGCGACCGAGAGGCGTGCCGACCGCGAGGGTGGCCGAGCGGGAGGGGTCGACCGTGAGGCGTGCCGACCGTGAGGGTGGCCGAGTGGGAGGGGGCGACCGTGAGGCGTGCCAACCGCGAGGGTGGCCGAGCGGGAGGGGTCAGCCGTGAGGTGTGCCGACCGCGAGGGTGGCCGAGTGGGAGGGGGCGACCGTGAGGCGTGCCGACCGCGACAGCGCGGGGCTCAAAAATGTGATGATGTGAAATGGAAAGGACAGGGTAAGGGGAGGGGACAGTGCATCGTGGCCATACACGTGGCGATATCGTGGGGGGAATGAAACGTTGGAGCGGAAATGAAACGATAGGTCACGAGGGGGGGTTTTGAAAAGGCGGTTTTTGGCGGTTGATTTGAAAGGTTTTGAAACGGGTGAAAATTAATGTGGATCCATGGAATACGGGTAAACCGTGGGTGTTTGGTATAATGCGTTTCACCTACCGTTTTACAAAAACCCAAAACATCCAAGTGTTAATTCCTTCACTGCGTACGACATACCTGTGTAGCATTCTCTCAACGTCTTTGTTCCTGCGTCAGAAGTGAGTTGCAAGCAAACCCTAGAAATGGCACAAGAAGAAGGAGTTAATGTGAGGGTGGACCCGTTGGGGGATGATGATGAGGAGGAGTTAGCAGCGCAATATAGGACGGAGGCAAGGATGGTGGGGGCGGAGGTGGGAGAATCGCAGTCGTCGGCCCTGATATTGGCCCCAAAGCCACTAAGCCAGGTGGAGCCAGAGCAGTGGCACACTAAGGAGGACAAATCCACACTCACGGTGGCGGATTTGGAGGTGATTAGGGAGCGGTACCAGATTCCGGCGGAGGTAGAGTTACTGCTGCCAACATCAGGGGAAAGGCCGTCTACTGAGAGGCCAGGGGAGTTTTCCCTGTACGAGGAGGCGCTAAAAGGGGGGCTGAGGTTGCCACTGCCTCAAGTGGTGGTTGACGTGCTGAATCGCCTGGAGGTAGCACCAAGGCAATTGATGCCCAATGCCTGGAAGATTCTGCTGGCCTGTGCGAGTGCGTGGCCTAAGGCGAATGGGGGGGAGGCCATGACGGTAGACGAGTTCTTTTCGTGTTACAAGGCGTCGGGGTAGCAAGAAACTTGGGTCACCTTATAGGCGGTAATAGGGAGGGGATTGGTGGCGGGGCTGCCCGCGTCGATCAAGGGGTGGCGGCCACGGTGGTTCTACGTGACTGTTAATGGGGGGATGGGGGTGCGCACCATCTGGAAGGTGCCGACCAGGTCGATGGAGTCGAGACTGGGGGCAATGGCGGAAGAGAAGGTGAAGCGGGTGAAGGAGTGGAGAGAGAGAGAAAAGGCCAGATGGGACGAGCTTGTCCAACCGTCTACACTGTTTGAGGCGGGGCTGGGACCGCAGCCGAAAGGCGGAGACCTCGGCCGGGCGGAATTGGAGGCGAGGAGAAAAGCTCAGGAGATAGAGGATCGGGCCATTCTGGCAAAGGCCGCGAAGTTCAAGGAGGCGCAGAGGGACCGTCCGCCTCAACCGATCGCGCGGGAGAGAATCCGACCGCGCCCAAGGCCGTTGGGTGAAAAAGACTTAAGCAGTTTTAAGCCGCAGCCGCCGCCTGTAGACCCTATAAAGGAAAAGGCTGGAAAGGCGGTGGAAGCTCTAAAAAAGAAAAAGAAGAAGAGGAGCGCCCCAGAGGAAGCAGCAGATGCGTTTGGGGCCAAAAGGGCTAGGGCGGCCCCAACTGAGGTGGAGGTCCCCATGGCCAAGGACGCCCCAGAGGTGGTAGAGATCATCCCAACGGTGGAGGTTGTGGAGATTGCTCCATCAGTGCAAGTAGGGGCTGGGTCGACTGAGGCAGTGCCGAGCGGAATGGAACAGGTCCAGAAGAGGACTGACCCCCAAGAAGGAGGGGTTCATCTGGCTACGGCGATCTATCATGCGCGCGCGGTAGCTAGAAGGTTGGAGGGAGAAGAAGGCCCAGCCAGGGCGGGGGCAGACCGCCTGGTGAAGATTATGGAGGAGACGGCTCTGCGCGCGGCATCAGGGTATAACGAGGCCGACCTGCTGAGGGGTTATGCTCCGCCCAAATGGAGGTAACTACCTTGGCAGGGGCCCTCCTTAGGAAGGCAGGGGCTACCAAGTTGAAGGCTGAGGAGGCCAGGGTCCAGTTGGCCAAATTGAGGAAGGATAGTGTCGACTGGAAGACTGCCCATGCCGATCTGCCCGCAGTCAAGTTGGAGCTCGAGGACACGCGCCGCAAGGTCGTGTCGCTCGAGTTCCAACTGGATGGTGAACAGAAAAAGTTGGAAGAGTCTGAGAGGGCCTGCGCCGTGGCAGTCGAGCGGCATGAAGAGGCCATGACCAGCAATGAAGAGCTGGTCAGGCAAAAGGATGAAGCGGATTCCAGAATTGGAGATTTGTTGAAGGAGTTGGGGGAGGAGCGCGCCAGAGCAAAGGAGGAGAAGGGAAGGCTTCTGAGGGCGTGGGAGATAGAGAAGGCGAAGGTGGTGGCGGAGCTGGAGAGTCTGAAGAAGGGGGTGGAGGAGGAGAGGGCGACGGCGGCGGCTGAAAGGGGGGCCCTGCAAAGAGAGCTGGACGAGAAGAAGGCGAAGGCGGCGTCTGAAAAGGCGGCCTACCCTGATCTGTGCGTCGCAGCAGTGGAGCAATATAAAGGGTCCTCCGAATTTCAGATGGTGGTGGACGCTGCTGTCGCCAGGAGTCTAGCTAGTCAAGAGTCGGGGGGGTGGGCCCATCAAGGAAGACTGCTGGAGGTAGGACAGAGATAGAGGTGATTGAAAGCTTCCAGCAGTCAGATTTCTATAAGCACGAAATGGCCGAGTTCTGGGACAGCGGTTGGAAAATGTTCAAGCGCAGAGCTGAAGAGCTGTTCCCACACTTGGACCTTAGTAGTGTGACGATAGGGGAAGATGATGTGGCCCAGACCCCCCTGGACGAAGGTATTGAAGAAGAGGATCTGGCATCTAGCGAGGAGGAATAGCCAAGGAGAAGGAAAGCTGGGCGTGCTCTATGTTTTTTTTTGTTTTTTTTTTTTTTTTTTGAACTTGTGAACACATTGTAAAGGAGTAAATGAATGAATGAACGTATGAAGAATTTACTTGTAATGAATTTGTGTACAAAGATTATTTGGCTTATGTTGTCAGTTGAATTTTTATTTATTTTGCTTATGTTGCCAGAATGAATGAAGTGTTATGATAAAAACTGTTCGTAAAGATTGGGTCAATAAAAATAACGTGTAAACTGAAAGTTAAAAGTTCCTCCCTGCGGAGTGCGATTGGAGTTGTATGAAAATTGAAAGGATAATTCAAAAATTGAAGTAAGAGGCAGGTTGCGAATTGTAACTAAATAGTTGGCGAATAATCTGATTAGTGAATGAAATCGGTGAGAGTACGTGAGGAATTTAACTAGGAAAAACGTGGTCCTGAAACTGTGAAGAAACTTCATAATGTGACTAAGTGTTGAAAATGTGGTTCTGCTAGGCTTTGAAGTGCTCGGTCTGGCCGAGGCTTTTGAAGTGCTCGGTCTGGCTCGGTCTGGCCGAGGCTTTTGAAGTGCTCGGTCTGGCCGAGGCTTTTGAGGTGCTCGGTCTGGCCGAGGCTTTTGAAGTGCTCGTTCTGTCCGAGGCTTTTGAAGTGCTTGGTCTGGCCGAGGCTTTTGAAGTGCTCGGTCTGTCCGAGGCTTTTGAAGTGCTCCGTCTGGTTGAGGCTTTTGAAGTGCTCCGTCTGGCCGAGGCTTTTGAAGTGTTCAGTCTGGCGGAGGCTTTTGAAGTGGTCGGTCTGGCCGAGGTTTTTGAAGTGCTCAGTCTGGCTGAGGCTTTTGAAGTGCTCGGTCTGGCCGAGGCTTTTGAAGTGCTCATTCTGGTTGAGGATTTTGAAGTGCTGCAAGTGGAAAAGTTATTGGGGCCACATAGAGACAGTTGAATTACGAAAACCGAGGCCATCAGTCGAAATTTACATTATGTATAGAAAGGAAAATACAACAATGTTGACAATACAAAAATATGGACTTATTGGTAGTAACGCTTCAAATGTTCTGCATTCTAGGGATGGGGCAGGTCTCGGCCTTCCATGTCTTGAAGTCGGTAAGTGCCTGGTCGTGGTCGGGCTTTCACAACGTAGGGCCCCTCCCATTTGGCTGCCAGTTTGCCCTCGGTTGGATTCTTTGTGGCAAGAGTCACTTCTCGTAAGACAAGGTCCCCTACGGAGAACTCTCGTGGTCGAACTCGGCGGTTGTAGTGTGTTCTCATTTTCTGCTGGTACGAAGCCAATCTGACAGCAGCGGTCTCTCTGAGCTCTTCGACGAGGTCCAAGTCTGTTCGGTGGAGTTCTTCGGCTGCGGCCAGATCCGGATGTAAAATCCTAGGGGTGGGCAAGCCGACTTCTACCGGAATAACCGCCTCAACGCCATATGTTAAACGAAAAGGGGTTTCACCAGTGGGAGTGCGAGTAGTGGTTCGGTAAGCCCAGAGTACATTTGGCAGTTCCTCAGCCCAAAGGCCTTTAGCAGCTTCGAGCTTGGTTTTGATGATTTTCAGAAGGAAACAGTTGGTGACCTCAACTTGGCCATTTGCTTGGGGTGACCGGGGGAGGAGAAGCACGGTTGGATGTGGAGATCTGCACAAAATTTTCTGTACTTCGCGTTATCGAATTGTTTGCCATTGTCAGAGATAATGGCTTGAGGGATGCCAAATCGGCAAATGATCGATTGCCAGATAAACCTAGTGGTGTTCCGCTCGGTGATTGTGGCAAGAGGTTCAGCCTCGACCCACTTGGTGAAGTAATCAATGGCAACGATTGCGAACTTGGTCTAACCTCGACCGGTGGGAAGCGGACCGACCAGGTTGATCCCCCACTTGGCAAACGGATAAGGGCTGCATAGTGTGATTTACTCTATAGGAGGGGCGTGAGGGATGTTGGCGAACCGTTGACATTTATCGCATTTGAGTACGAAGTCGGTCGCATCCTGATTGAGAGTTGGCCAAAAGTACCCAGTACGGAGTATCTTCTGGGCAAGGGACCTGCCTCCTGAGTGATTACCACAAATCCCCTCATGGATCTCCTGCATTACGTAAGTTGCTTGCATTGGATTGAGGCACCGTAGATATGGCCGGGAGAAGCCGCGTTTGTACAATATATCGTCGACAATGACGTAATTGGACGCTCGGGATCGGACTTTGGAAGCCTACTGCTGGTCATCTGGGAGTACTCCTGTGGTCAAGAATAGGAGGATGTCGGATACCCAAGGGATAGGTTCATTTTGAATGTATTGTACAGCTTGTAGATCGGGTGAAACGGCCGGGTGGTGTAGATATTCAATGCGGACATCCTGGCTGAGAGTAGGATGATCAACAGAGGCCAACTGAGCCATCTCATCTGCTTTGGAGTTTTCTGCCCGAGGAATGTGCCTGATGTGGAAGGTATTGAAGAGGCGAGCAATGGGGAGTGCCAGGTCTCTGTAAGCTCGCATCGTGTCGTCCTTGGCATCAAAGTCCCCCGTCATCTGACCGACGACGAGTTAGGAGTCGCTGAAAACTCGGAGATGGTTGACCCCTATGTCCTTGGCGAGGCGGAGTCCTGCTATTAATGCCTCATACTCGGCTTCATTGTTGCTTGCTTCAAACAAGAGACGGAGGGCACATTTGAAGAAGTCGCCCTTAGGAGAGGTGAGGATGAGGTCGGCACCGCTTCCTTCTCTTCGGGACGATCCGTCGACATTAAGAGTCCAAGAATGAGGATCTTCTGGCTCTGTTGGAGTTGGTAGGGGCGGTGGTGTTGTGGTCGGGGTCGGCTTGGTGAACTCCATGATGAAGTCAGCTACGGCCTGCCCCTTAATTGCTGTCCAAGGGCGGTAAGAGATGTCGAACTGGCTGAGTTCTACGGACCACTGCATCAGTCTACCTGAGAGTTCTGGTTGCTGCATGACCTTCTTCAGGGGTTGGTCGGTGAGGACCACAATGGAATGAGCTTGGAAGTATGGGCGGAGTCGTCTGGAGGCAATGACCAAGGCCAGGGACAGTTTTTCCAGCAAGGCGTAGTTCTGCTCCGCGCCCCTGAGAGCCCGACTGATGTAATAGACCGGCCGTTGGATTAAGCCATCTTCTCTGAGGAGAGCTGCACTGACTGCGGTGTTCGATACCGCTAGGTAGAGGAAGAGGGGTTCGCCCGTGATTGCTTGGGAGAGAAGGGGGGGTTGGCCATGCACTGCTTTAACTGTTGGAAAGCCTCTTCGGACTCAGCTGTCCATTCAAAAGTCTTCCGAAGAACTTTGAAGAAGGGCAAGCACTTATCTGTCGCACGGGAGATGAACCGGTTGAGGGCCGCCACTCGGCCCGTGAGTCTCTGAACTTCTTTGACCGTCCTAGGCGACTGCATCTCAACCAAGGCCTTGATCTTCTCAGGGTTAGCTTCGATGCCGCGCTGACTGACCATAAAGCCCAAAAATTTGCCGGACCCTACGCCAAAGGCGCACTTCTCTGGGTTGAGTTTCATCTGGTACTTGCGCAAAGTGGCGAAGGTCTCACGTAAGTCAGCAAGGTGATCGGAGGAGTATTTGCTTTTGACTAGCATGTCGTCGACGTAGACTTCCATATTCCGACCTATTTGGTGGTGGAAAACGGCGTTAACCAGCCGCTGATGAGTGGCCCCAGCATTCTTCAATCCGAACGGCATTACATAGTAGTGGTAGGTACCTCGGTCGGTGATAAATGATGTGTGCTCCTGGTCGGATGTGTGAATCAGAATTTGGTTGTACCTAGAGAAGGCATCCATGAAGCTGAGCATTTGATGACCGAACAAAAGGCAAGTTGGTGGTGACTGAGGGCTTGTGCTGAATGTTCTGCATGACCCCTTGTAGTTGGAGTTTCATAGCTCGGATTTCAGCGTCCCAGAGGGGGGTGGTGTCGCCATGGTCGGCCAATGGAGGCTGGACGCTGCTAGCTTCCCCCTCAGGGGTCAGTACTGGGCGGCTATAAGGGTGTTGCGCTCCGGATGGAAAATGCGTTGCTTCTGGCGGTGGGGTCGAAAGTGGGGCTCGATACTGAGGCGATGGGTTATGAAGGAGGGGTCGATGCCTGGCATGTCAGAATGGGTCCAGGCGAATACATCTCTGTGCTCGGTCAGTAGCGCAGTGAGGTCGGCCTTGACTTGGAAAGGTAATTGGCTGCCAATCTTGGCGGTTCTGATTGGGTTGGTGGGATCAATGTTAACTTCAACCTTGGCTTGGGAAGGTAATTGGCTGCCAATCTTGGTGGTTTTGATTGGGTTGGTGGGATCAATGTTAACTTCAACAAGTTCCTCTACAGGTTCACCTCTGACCAGCTCGTCGTCGTCTCGGACGTCAAGCCCTTCGATGATCATGGCCTCTTTTAGCTTGACTTCTTTGAGTGAGGCGACATAACACTCCCTGGCTGTGGTTTGTTCGCCTTTGACGGTTCCGACGCCGAGGTCGGTGGAAAATTTCATGGCCAGATGGTATGTGGAAGTGATGGCTTGGAAGGTATTTAGGGCTGTGCGGCCAAGGATGATGTTGTAAGCGGAGGGGCAGTCGACCACGAGGAAGGTGAGCAGCTTAGTGGTCTGCCGCGGGTGCTCACCGATGGTGATAGGCAGAGATGGAGGTCACACGGTCGCCGGTGAAGCCGACCAAAGGGGTTTGGAGAGGAGACAAGCTTTCTTCCCCAATCTTGAGCTGGCGGAAGCAATTGAGGAAGATAATGTCTGAAGAGCTGCCGTTGTTTATGAGGACTCGTCTGACTTTGTAGTTGGAGAGG